ATCTCACTAATGTCAATAGCAGTAGATGTTTGTGTTCAGCGTCGTTTTTTTAATTTGTTTTCACAACAATGTTGCATAATGTGTGTAGTTCGCTAAATAGTTCCGTATTTACAAACTATATATCACTTGAAGGCTCTGTTTTCCTCTAAAATGGTAATTCCTTTTAATTACATTGGAATAAACAGACAATCCAACTACATAATATTTGAAGATAAATTGGATGTGTGTATAATGCACGAAAAATACGTGCGCATAAAAAGCACAGGCAACATATATATAAGGCAACACTCCGTTTGGAATATGATATGATGCAGGCGTTCAAATAAAAGCGTCTTGAACGCAACGCGAAATAAATATCCTTTTAACATAACATCATGAATTCAACCTTGTAATCGTATAAATATCTACTTGATTACGTCTTTAGCTCTAGTTTCTTACATCCATTACCATGCCAATGCATGTGTATGTTTCGAAGTGTGGAAAAATGTTGAAAATTGTCGATTTATTTGATAACAAGTACAATATATAGTTTATCCTTTGCAGTTTGACCAACATTGTTCTAAAGCAAAATGACATATGAATTAAACGAGAACGAACCTAAAAAAATCGATTGAAATATTCTCACTAAAAAGGGAAAAAAAAATTCATATACGAGTTTCTAATAGATTTCAATGATGACACAAACTACATTATTTTTGCGAATGTTTGCGATTTTCTATTGTATGTCTCCGTATCTGTACCTGTTTTGTGCTGCGTACCAAAAAAGATTAATGGATTAAGTTTTGATCTTTTTTCCATTTCGTTAGATTTTCATATATTATCATTGAGAAAATAAGCTCGTGAGGCAGAGAACAAAACAGGGAAATTAAGAGAGGGAGAGAGAGAGAGAGAGATAGAGAAAGAGGAGAAAGATTAGGAGAGTTAAAAAAATGGCAATAGCCCATGTGGAAGAAAAAGCAGAATAAGTAGACTACAAGTAAGAAAAGTTCGCCATGCTTGTGTTCTTCATTTATTTTAGTTAATTTTTAAGTAAAATGTTATACATCTTTGGTTTCTGCGTAATGTGCAGATCGGCAAGAGTGCCATGCAGACACCTTTGTGCAGTGCATATTTATGTAAATCCACCGTTTCTAAAGTTGTTCCATTTGGAATGTGCAGTGTCGCGTATCTATATGTACCGTCTCTTTATACAAATGGCAACCCAATTGCTCGTGTGCTTCGACGACTAAGGTAGAAACAGCAATAGAGAGTGAAATGAGAATGAGATTCATAACAAGTACTCGACAAAGTGAACAATGAGTTTAAAAAAGTCAGTGGATCCATAGTAGTTCAAGCTCAAGCCAAGAGAGTCACTGTGTGTGTGTGTGGGATACGAACGATGGTAAAATACAATGTGTAGCACATCGCGTCCACACATCCAAGCACACAACGTGATGGGTTTAGATTGTAAAGATTAAGTTTATATCGATGGTAAGCACGTTGAAGAAACAACACATGTTAAGCCGACGGCCCACAGCGTCATGCTCTGGTAAATGGGAACAAGTGTAGTTTAAATTTTATGAAAAACTATGCACAATTTCTGGTTGAGATACTTTTTCCATATTTTACAAATTACAATTATTGTTATTAAAAAAGTTTAATGTATTCTTTATTTTTATCTATGGCAATTTCACCTTTAGCAACAAGCGCAATATCATTCACAACCGAGTGGAAGCGATTGCAAGGCGTGTGAGCTTGTATTCCTAATTTGCATACTCAAGCGTTATACTTTCACAAACACACTCTTTTGCTTTCGAAAAAGTTTGGCAAACATGCTGGACCAAGAGACACCGATGACAATGCCAACAGCGAATGAAATCAACTAAACGTATCATGATACCTAATAATAATAAAAGTGAACTTTTACTTGAATAAATCAATATGATTTGGCAAATATTTGTGAAAAAATAATAGTTTTTATGTAAAATTGTTAATGTTTTTCACCCTCTCTGACCTCTTTTCTGACGTCCCAGGAACTGAATATTTGAGACATATCCTGCAGTTGCATTAAATTATCGATCGTTGCATGTAATCGAACCTATTACAATCTGACGGAGTTCACATTTTGAGTATTAGATATAAGTGCTGCTCTCTGCAGCTCACATACAATTCTCGGTTCATTTACACTGTCTCTATGGTGTGCGCACGTTCTTCGATTACGATCGTAAGTATCCAAACAAAATCCAATTGGAAATGATAATGTGACAGCAAAACCACCCTCTGTGATGTGATATTCCAATAAAAAAGTAAAATTGATTTATCAACGTGTGCAGCTTTTGTCAAACGAAAAAAAACCATCACTGAAAAACGATAGTGGGGAGAAAGAGAGAGAGCTAAACCTTTAAACTACATGCTGATCACAACAAAACCTCTTCACAACCATATTTTCAAACCGTTTTTCCATCTTGTATGCGGATTTCATCCAACATGATGTACTTGCTTCTGTGTATTATGGCGTTGCCTTTTTGATTGTTTTTATTTCAGCTTCACCAATTTAAGTGTTTTCGGAACTACTTCAACAACGATATCTATCCTTTTTATTTGGTAGATGGGAAACTAAAAACCATTGAAGAAAAGAACAAGAAGAAATAGAGGAAGGGAGAGAGAGAGAGAGAGCGTTACAAAAAATTACAATCAATACATAAAAGTGGGTTCGCATTTGTATTTTATGGAGCACAAGGCAAAATCATTTCACCGAAAACAAAGTAATGTAAGCTATTTATATTGATCAAGTGGAAAAACAAACTACAACATACAAGCTGTAATATACTTTGGTCGTAAATTTAAAAATATTGCCATAAACTTCATAACCCTATGTCTTGTGTGCGTTACTGTTTTTCTCTTTTTATTTTTATATGTATATAAATATTTTTGTTCGTCCGCTCGTTTTCTATGCACCATGCATTCGGCCACTCGTTCCCTGATTCTTTTCTATCCCAATTTTCTCTGTTCCGTTTTTTTTTCTTTTCTTCTCTTTATTTGTGTGCTCATTCGTGTTCGGTGTGTCTTTTTTACCATCACTACAGCATATAATAGTGTGTCAGAGCTTTCCAGAACATCATTTTGTTTTTCATTTTTCATCGAAATTACGACTAAAAGCTTTATTACATAGTTATACACCGACGAAAAAAAAAATAACCATAAAACAAACGAAATATAAATCTATTGATGAGATGCAGAATAATCATCATACACTTTCAGCACTTATTAAATACGGTTTTCACAAAATGATATCATAATTCATAAAATATGTTTGCCATCATGAACATTCTGCTATAAAAATACAATGAATATTAATAATTTCTGTTGTGTTAAAATTGACTACGTTTTGACCATTTCGAGATAATTAGTACATTGTCTCCATGTAACGCCACGTTATGACCAATGAATAAAGAGAACAAAACACCGTCTAAAGACACTCGTTTTTTTAACAACATTTAATAAACACATCTATTTTTGTTTGTTTTGAAGAAACATTTTAATAATTAGGAAGGAATTTATGGTCATACTGTGGAAGTCACTACTAAACTTTGTTCAAGGTATTGGTCCTCTATCAATGTGTTTGGTACTTATTTACTAAGCAGTTGACATAACATCACATCTTGTCAACGGTCTGTGAACGATACAAACTCGTCAACTTCGGTTCGGAGAAAAATTGGAACAAATAAATTCGTTTGCTTCCATCCTTTGTTTATGGGTTATTCATTTGAAAAGTACTTTTTGAGTTTCGTTTCTCATTCGATCACCGCAAATCGAGTCAATTAAATTCAACAAAAAATAAAATTTTATTCAAAAATTACAACAGTTTTTATAAACTAACATGTTTTAAAAAAAATCAGATCCCATCATGGTTGTTATTACTTGAATACAATAAAATTTCAATGTGATGCCAATTATTATGATGTCACCATGCATACGAACAAAAAAAAAGAACATAAACGTTGCTTGCCTACTTTCAGGATTTTTTTGCTTTAAAACACACAAGAGAAAGACACAAATTTGTCAAATGCTTTCGACGTTATCGCCAATGTAGAAAATGTTCACATGTGTAAAAAACTACATATCGCGAATTGAGTCCATCAATCGAAATTCCAAGTTCTAACAAAAGTTCGTCTCCATCTCATCGCTGTGGGTAGTAAAAAACGGTTTATGAAGAGAAATTGAATTAAATGAGATTTGCTAAATCGTGAAAATTCGAATTATATTTAAACATACGAAGCTCATTATTAAAATGACATTTACATATGAATGCAAAATTAAAGATAAAATAAACACGAGAATGCAACTTAAACGTATAGTTGCCATATGATCGGATTTCATTCGATTGTCCGAGCAGACGAACGCAATCCCACCATTTCCGTGGGAACTGACCAGTGTGTATGTAGTCATTGTGTTCGAAAAATGTTATCAAACATTTTTAATTTTGGGGTGTGAATTTTCGAAGCATTTGAGCAAAATCGCTTTTTTTATATCTTTCGACAAACTTTAAAACTTTGGTTAAATGGTCGAAACATTCAACTATAATAAAGTTTTATTTCAATTAAGAGAGAAGACTTTTTTTCACGTTGAAAATCTTAGTTGATGATTAACAACACTTAAAAGGATTAAATCCGCAATTAATATTATTCGAATGGTTATCAACCAAACGGTACATTCAAAATGGCTTAAGTACCTACAATATATAGAAGTAGTTGAAAATAAAAATGGTAGTGGCCAATACCTTAAATTTGATCTTACGTCTGTGAAAGTTTCTATCAAACTCTCAACTAGGCAAACTCCAATGATCCAACTAGGTAACTAACGGCTTGACCACTAAAATATATGTCGAAATATTTTCGATTTATTCGCTAGAAAAGTGTATTTCGACAAATGTTAGTTACCTGCAAATGAAGTGGTCGTTTTTGTTGCTCCATCCAAAATACGAAAGTCCATTAAAGTATTCGAATAAAACAACGATTAAATGATTTGCTTCACATTACGTATGGTTTATTGAAAGAGAAGTGTTGTGCATTACATTCACTCTTGCTTCATAAGACATTTTTCTTCCATATAACATTATTTTCCAATTCACATAAATATTTCAGTTATAATATGCGATGTGTATGCGACTGTGTGTTTGTCGGTATGCATACATGATGTTTATTTCTGATTTTTGTCACAGCAGCATTTTGTGAACATTATTTGCATTGTACACAGAAAGAAAAAATGTGGTATTTTTAATTCAATTTTAATATAAAATCTACCAACAACGAATTAAATTTGCCATTTTTGACATCTCTGAGGCATATTTTTCGAAAGAGACTATCAGTTGAATTAGTTTTACCAATTGCTTCATTACATTCACCAAATTCATGGGCTAGCGTCATCTGTGGTTTCGAAAAGTTGGTAAATGTAATGAGACAGTTGGTAAAACTTATTCAACAAATAGTCACTTTTGTAAAATATGCCTCAGAGATGTCAAAAATGGTAAATTTAATTCCTTGTTGGTTGATTTTATATTAAATCTACCAAAATTGAATTAAAAATACCACATTTTTTCTTTCTGTGTACTCATATATGAAAAAGAGAGCAATAAATAGATAAATACAGAAAATTTACATAACATGTATAGTACATTAACATTAAAAACAATAAACACGGTCGGTCTTACATCCAAACTGATAACGAGCAATAACGTAATTTCTTTTCATCATTTTCCGTATGGTTTGATTATTGCTCGTGCAGTTAAACAATAATACATTGCGAATCATAATAATAGTTCAATGGAAATGTAACCAAATCGTCCTTGTAGTATTCTTCTTCTTCTTCTTTTTTTCATATGTACCAATAATACTTTCCATAAATAGTTTTACATATTTCGATTGGTTTATGGTATAATTTCTTTTAAATAAAAATGCAATATCAATAAACATTATTTGGACTGACATTTAACTAATATATTTTTTTTCTCGGTGCCATGGTAAACTTTAATTGACGTCATCCACAAAATTAAAAAAAAAAAAAGAAAAAAAAACAATTGCATAGAAGCTATATGTTTTATTTTCCTGTTGTTTGTTCGAACAAGAGGAAGAAAAAATATGCCAGACTTGAAAATGTTATGCCGAATTATTCCTAATATGGTTTGGTGCACTTCTAATTTCAAGCCCATTTGGATCATTGTTCGTTTTTATTTTGCCGAAGAAAGAAAAAAGGGTGAAGAAAACTCCGGTATGCAATGTCAAAATGTGATTCGAATTGATTTATGGCGAATATTGCAAATGATACACAATGTCATAAACTGCATTCGATAGACCAAATTGCATTTGACATGAAAAGTCTGGTATATTCAATGGAACGGATTTGTTTTTTAAGTTTACACAATTCGAAAATGAGTACACTTTGAACGGATGTGGGCGTTGTTGGTGTTGGTATGGATATGGGCATGTAACACACTTTGAACCTATCCACTTTTAAAGAGTAAAATTGCAACTTGGCCTAGATAAAAATAGACAAAGTGCCGAGTCTCATGTGTTACATATGACCCGAAATTCCGGCCGACAATGCAGTGCCAAGTTGGATTGTATTTTTTGTCAAATTCCTTTTTAATGTATGCAGCAATGTCCTAAAATAAAAACGAAATGTGAAAAAAGAGGTTTTTTTTGTTCATTGTCAATTATTGAAATATACATTTTAAGTAAAGTACATTCGAAATGCAGCACAATCGAAATGTAGCAAAGGTTTTGATTAGAAGGCCACCCCATTTTCAAATGTTCATACAAACGAAAGACAGACATATTCATTCAATCATCGGAGCTAGCGTTTGCAATTTTTTTTTGTCATGTTTAATTCATAAATAATTTATGAATAAATTCAAATTCAAAATATAAAAGCAAAGCAAAGCGAACGCTGCTGAATAAAAAAGACACATGATTCAATGTCAAACCGTAAAAAAGCATAATAATATCGGGACATTTATTCTATACGATACAAAACCAGTGCACACAGAAAATGTTGTACGTATTTGTCATTGGGGGTGTTTATTTATTTTGTCCATTTTCGCTGTTATTATGTTAATTTTGATGAGCTTTTTTTATTGTATAAAACTCAATTGCCTTGCAGCAATTACCTTTTCAATGTTAAATTTTTCGAGAGCTTGCGTCGCACAATCTATAGCATCCTGTTGCATTTCCTAATAAAGGAAAAACAAAATTCACATTTCTCGAATTGTGTTAACTTAAATCACAGTACACACCTCTCCCATATCGGCATTTTTAATAACCGCTTTTCGTTCAGACATCTTAATTGAAGTTATTGTTGTTGTTTACCTTCGAGTTAACCCTTTTAAATTACCTGAAAAATGTGGACGACCAATTAGATAATAAAGTTGTAAATGATTGAATGCCAGTGCGGAATATGTATAGGGAAAAGAATACAAAAATGGAGCGGAGTGCGTGTTGTTGTCCGTATTGAATGTATACAAAATACACAGGCTCATCGCAAACATTCTATTTTTGGAAATTATCTGATATAAGAATACCACTCATGGATGGTGGTACGTATTGCGTTACGGTCATAATATTTATCCATTACAAGTGCGTAAGCATGTATACGTGTGTTGTTTTGGCGTTAAGCTTGCAAGCATGTTGCCTCGTAAATGAATGCTCACCATCGGGCACGCACGCACACACACACACATAGAACCTGTAATCGACGGGGATGATACATGTGTTTTGTATATATACGATATCGCACAATTTTCTATCCATCTTCAACATTTTGTTGATCCCTCGATTTTATTTAAATTATTGAAGGATATTGAAATCTATTTTTAAACCACACACGGTTAAAGAAGAAACGGCACAGAAAACACTGACGATTCAATGCCATGAAAACATGTGCATGTATGTGTATGTGATTTTTCAAATGAAAATATATCGAAATTGTTAAACCGAATAATGTTCTGGATATTTTGACGCGCGAACCAAAAACTTCAACTTTGTGAAAACTCAATACTTTTGAATACATTCACATAAAATGCAATGCATACAAAGTGCCCGGGATTGGAATTCAATCATAGTTTTCAATTTTCTTTACGGATATTCAATGTTACATACAAAAAATGTTAACAATAAATGGATTGGATTTGGAATATCTTACCGATATTGCGAAAATTCCGTTTTCAAGATACTTGTTTACTTTTTGAAGCTTCTTTGTATCGAATTGATGATGGTCCCCCTTTTTTTGTGGATGCTTGATTCACTACTTTATTTTTTTTCGGCTTAACTTATTAGCTCAATTCAAATGTTCACCAAATTAATTTTCAGCAGCACGTTTGTTATTTCGTTTTGACTATTTAAGATTTGAATTTACAGTAACAAAAAGTCCATCTGCACGCAAACCGAATCAAAAATGTTATGTTTCAACTTGATTCGCCTACTTGTTGACTTTTTCGGTACGGTATCCACCATGGATACGGCACGATGGGCGCCTTTTCATTGGACAACAACGAGGTTGTCTGACAGAGGTCTTCTGCCACTCAAATCACACTGCGTTCGTTCAATGACACCCGTACAAAGCCGATAACGAACTCATACACAATCCACCTGGCTCTTGCAGCACAATGGATATTTATTTTGAAAAAAAAAAAGAAAATAAAAAAACAGTCCGCAAAATGAAAATGGTGATAATTGTTATTGTATTTGACTGTGAATCCATATATAAAGTTGTTTGGATTGAATTGCCAATAGAATGGGATGACATGCTCTGAATTCTTGTATTATATTCGTTTTTTTAAAAGCTTCAAATTATCAATAGATAATTTAATCAACATGTTGAAATAGAAAATGACTATCGTTTCTTTTTTATTCAATTTCGTCAATTGAGCGCTTTCTTTTAAAAATGCACATGATTTCGCATACACGGTTAAATTATTTATATTGTATTTCTCGAGCTTGACGTTCAACTGTTTGTCAAATTTTTAAATTCAGCATGCATAGATTTAGTGCAAAATCAATATATGTAAAACTTACCAAACATACGTTCGTTTTTTTTTTGGAAAAAGTATTCCACAATAGTGAAGTAGATTGAAGCGTATTGAATGCGCGCATGGTTGGAGACGACATAAATTCGGTTCACAATGTATAGTCAAAAATGCGCTAAACGACTCGGTATAGGTATTTCAAACTCACTGGATAATGAAAATCTTGCAATTTTGTGAATCAATGAATTTTAAATAGGCGCACTCATTTCTATTATATATTGTGTATGGAAAATATTTCCGTCGTCGCGACATTGATGAAGACGATGGCTTGAAAATGTTCCTCTCTTTCTCCTTCACCCGAAAAGTTCTTGTTTGTTCTCAACCATCAATCGCATTCGATGGAAAACCGACGCTGGATCAGATTTAACTGACTGCTGTCGCCCAAAATATGTACGAGTCAATATCATCGCTGTTATAGTCTGTGTTTATTCATTCTGATGATGAAAAATTTGCCGATAGGCCAAATTCTTTTTTTTTCTCTTTTCCCTCTCTATTCGCCAGTTTTAGAGGTTGTATGAGTATTTGCTAAAGCACAAGTACAAAAAGTATACACATAAGGAGTGAAGAACAAAAAAACCATGGAAATTTTGTGGCGCGAAAGAGGAACAACAAACATAAAACTACGTTGATGTGATTTTGAATGGCAACACACAATAGCTGTGTATTTTGTGTAGAATATGCATTCAACGCGCACAGCATAGCACAGAGCACATACAAACCATTGATGTGTGCACCAATTTCAGATCCGAGCGCAAAATATCATCTTCGAAAATTACTTTATAATCAAACACATTCACTCATTTTACCCCGTAGAATTCAAAATCTGCTACTCTCATTTGGTGATCGGTGACGTTCCTTGCTTTAAAGCATTGCTCAACAAATTGATATGAGAAGAATGGTTAAAATGCGTGGGTAAGCAGAATAAAAGGGAAACATTTTGTATAAGACATAGTCAGAGAGAAAAAAAGAAGATAAAGAACGGAAAAATATTTTTTTTGTGTGTATTCGCTTGCACAATTTAAACCGTTGTGTGTTATAAAGACGTTGATGTAATTTAGCTTCCAGCTAACTAACATTCATCAGTTATAGATCTACTTTGGAGTAAATTGAAATTTATGATAAAGGGTGTGTGCGTGAAGAAGCTTAAGCACATCGAAGGCACTGACAGACACTGAATGTGAAACAAAAAATGATTAAGCTGAAACGGAAATGTGCACGCCAATTCTATTTTAGATTATCGTTAAATTCCGTATTCAATTTTTGCAAATGTGAATTGCGATTACATAGTTGCAAATTCACGGTATTTTGTATATCGATAGTACCGTTCAATATCAAACATTTCTATCGTTATCTATAACAATATTAGCTTCGTATATCCACATTTTCGAGTGGATCTCTTTTTTTTTTATTTCGAATTCATGCATATTGTGCGAATTGTGACGGTTGTAGAATTTGACAACACGTAAATTGAAATACATTGGCTTACGTATTCTAATTTCTCGTCTTTTGTTTAATTTTCCCCATCGATTATCTGTACATACAGAAACTAAATTGATCTCTATTTGTTGGATCCAAAAATGTTGGTACAGATATGTCTCTTTTGATTCACTGCAAGAGATATCTATTTGCATTTGGCACACAATTAACGTTGGCGCACATAGTGTGTGTGTGTGGGTATATAGGTGGAAGCATGTATATTGGTTCGTCATTGTATAAATTGAATGCTATCCAATTTGAAATTGAACAAAATCCGCAATTCGTAATATCAGAAAATGGTAATACTTATTCAAGCGCACATGAGCACCTCATTCAATGTTTAACCAGTAGTAGAAAATGGTTTAACATCCGAATGTAATATGGAATTGCCATAAATGTTAAAATGTTTTTTATGATTTTGTTTCTATTCCAAAAAAAAATTTTTTTTCAGAAAAATAAATGCTGTGGGTAACAGGTAAAAAAAAATCATTTTACATGTGAAAATACTCTACATCTAATACTGAAAAATGTTTATTGGCTAAATTGCAGAGTTCTATGAACACTGTATCTAGATACAAAACAAATCGTGTCCGAAAAATTGTTGTATTGCGGCGCAATATATTCAAGCGCCGTTCGGAAGCGCTGATTGTAATGAATGAAGGCAACAGCACACATGAGCGATTTGGTTGAATAAACTAATGAGTTAATGGCAGAATAGAAGGAGCGATTCCATTTTTAATAGTTGCTACCACAAGAGTAATCGAAGTGAGAGTCCCAGGTCAATTGAAACATTGATATTTATTCAATGCAAAGTAAACAATTGTGAATGCAAAATGGTAAAAGTATTAAAATCGACCAGCATTTGTAATCCATATATTATAACATGTTGGATCAAGATCTTTGTTTCTTGTGTATGGTTTGCTGGTAATGCGATTCCTTCCTTTATCCATAAAATCAAACTGAATATTGAATGAAAAATAGATTTATTCTACATTTGGTTGAAGCAAATACCCTAATGGACCGTTTTCTTATTCATCATTTCTCATAATCACTGTTGGCCCCCACTGTCATTAGCACCGAGTGGCACAAAACCATACCATCGAGCATATATGGCCGTTTTCATTTGTTGTCGTTGCAGCTACCGCACACCGTTTTGGCCATTCATCGGTTGAGGAAAATTTTTAATTGGCATCATCCATCACACCACCAATACCATGGGTGTGAAAGTGGTGCGTCTCGATGCAAGGAACGTAGAAACCTCAAAATGTTCTCATTAGCACGTTTCTTAATTGAAAGTGGTGTGTATTTCATGCGTGTATATGTAATGAAAAGAAAATATGAAGCTATCGTTAGTTTATTTTGGTTGTTGGTTTTGTTCAATTGTTCACATCATTTTCTCTTACAGTAGCAGTGTGGTGTTGCTCCACATTCGGATTCAATTTCAAAATTTCATCTTATGTTTACATTGCCACAGCCCTCATACCATAACGATCGTATAAATCTGTCACATTGGGAAACAACATACAACATATTAAAACATTTATTCATAAACTATTCAAACTATTTCGGAAGAGCGATAAGTGTATACTCACGAAAATGCACTTTCCATGTTCGACTATTTTCGGGGTAATGCTGGTAATAATCGGTTCATTAACTGGTTTTGGATAAGATTGGCTCCTTTTAGTGTTATTTTGTGGGGACCAAACTTGTTGTGTGCGAGAGAGAGAAAGAAAGAAAAATCGAAATCGCAGAGACACAGAAAGTTGGAGAACAAATGTATGTTTACATTGCATCACGATGGGGTAACAAAGCAAAGAATTGATCGCTTTTGTTTGGTCAAACCAACATAAATGATTTCAGCATCTCGTTGTCGACACATTGAAACGAAAAATACAATGTATATGGCAAAAATTTAACAGTCTTACGATATATGTTCAATGTGTTTGCTGACAACGAGAGAAAAGCAACGGACATGTAGGAAATATAACAGAATATGCATATTCATCTCTGTATGTGACTTGCCGGAGAGTTGTCGCTGTTGGTGCTGGCCACATTGTTGTCAAATAGTCCAAGCGGGAAGTAATAAATAGAGGAGTATCACCAGGAACTTTTCCTTATTTGTTTATGGTCCGACACATTTCACACAGTATACAAATCTGGTCGATTTCACCAGTCTATATAGGCTGATTTTGATATTTTATTTGTCTTGCAAACACGCAGACACACTTGCTTTCCATGCAATATTGCGTGTGCCTCAATTTTTCGAACGGTATGTGATATCTTCGAAAAAAGATACAACAACAACAACAACAACAACAAAAAGAGAAACAAAAGGAAAAGAAACTAAAATAAAAACGGAATTGTATTCAGCTCATAGTTGGCAATTTAGTATCCGTTCCGACACATGTTCAGTCTTGTTATCGCATAACATAAATGTGTACAAAGTCAGCGAAAGCGGAAAGTTGCTCTGTGCGACAAATAATAATAATAATAATTTTTGCCGAAGACAATGATGGTGATGATGAAGATGATGATGAGGGCGACTATGACTAACACGAAAATAAAAACAAGACAAACTGACAGATATACACATTCAAAATGACTAACTCACATGCAAATAACAAACAATATGGCAACACAAAAAGGCGACAAAAATGCATAATCTGAGACATCTTACATACGCTAAATCCTCAACTTAATTGTCATTCCAGCGCTTTTGCTTCGAGTTTTTAACCACCACTCGTCTCCCACTGATACTAGATTTTACTAACCAACGTGCAATACCATCTCCTCGCCCTATGGCACAACTACTACTGGCGCTGGTCGATGATGTTATGGCCGTTAATTTGCAGCGTGCACCCAATACCGTACCGATCTCTCTTTCTATTTAACATGTTTTGTTGCAGCGTTTGCTTTTTATTCGTTTATAAATCGTTACGTTGTGCTCGGAAATGTGCAACGACAAGTTTTCCATTTTCCTGTAATACACACAATTTTATTCAGTTATCTCGATAGTTAGATGGTTAAAGAGAAGGTTGTTAGTTGACTTTTCTTTTTCTTCTCTTCCTTTGTTGTTCATATACATATATTTTATTTTTTATTTTTTTCGTTTTCGTTTTTGCTCTTCTATGCCTTTGTCTCTTTTTGTGCCATTCGGTGCTAGTCATTCCTGGTGTTGGATGTGCCAAAGCATGCAAACGCATTTTAACTATATCAACCTAAGTTTGCATTCGGGTGCATAATAAATTGTGAGCAACAACAAGGCAAAAAATAAACACATAAAATGAATGAACGTAGCCGAACGAAATGAGTCTGATGGTGGAGCAATAGCAACAAATAAATGTACAGAGCATCATAACGTGAACAACAATGAAGAAATAAGCAGCAAACCGAACCGATGCAATGCCGTGTAAAAATGGCTGTGCATCACATGAATGTGGATCGAGAGGAGATGAGAATGGAATAAGATGCACTAACCAAATCGAATGGCTGATGCAAGGGTTAAAACAAATAATTTTATTAAGTTGGCGTTGAGAGAAGTTTCAAATGCAATGCACACACATTTTTGATGGTGCTGAAATGAGTCTTTTCATTGTTTTGTCTATATAGTCTATTGCGATCTTAAAGTTTAACATCATGGCAAGATGAATGCCATGTTTCAGAATAGTGACATCGTATTTTCTACAACTATAACGTTACAAATATATATACGTGCAACATACATCAACACACATTACCACAATATTTTTCAGTTATACAGTGTATGCTTGCAGTTTTCGCATATCGTTGGCGATGAAGAAAAATTAACTCTAACATTCTGTCTCACTCTATCTCTGCCAATCTCTCTTTCTCTGCCCCTTTGTTTGACGGCTTCTTATGCAACATACATAACCGAAAAATATCCATCTTGTACACCCATGTCATCACTCATGGCTGCAAAAATATTCACTCGATATCGTATATATATGTACAACCGTCATTGCATCTGCAATTCACATGTGCGTTCGTATATTGCGCTCTCTATATATGTGTCGGTTTATTTTTGTTTCTGCTCTGTTTTGTTTTTCAATTTAATACAGTACACTGTGCTCAACACATTTTCTGTTCAAGGAAACTAATTAATTGAGGCGCTTAAATTTCATATGAAAATGATGAATTTCGAAAACAATAAATGAATGGCAAAAATTGTACCAAGAACTATGAAACAGCATATGCGTACATGTACATCATATTTAATTCTCTTGTTAACGAATAACGTAAAAAAAAATTTAAACTAACAAACAAAAAAGTGTGTAAATTTTTTCTCTATGATTCCAAGTTAAAGCACATTAAACTTTGATTGATTACCGGGAATTCGCGAATCCATGCTGTCAATACGACATAATCCAAACAATAACTGTTGAGTAATCTGGGCATCCGTCTTTTTTTGTTGTTGTTGTTGTAACAACGTCATTTTTTATTTCTCGTTCCATCACACGGGCGCCCTGTTGTAATACCTAACTCTTTGATAAGCACTTGGGCAGCAGGGGTTTCAATCTCTCCTGCGGCACTAGTACTTAGAAAAGAATTGATCACTTTTTTATGTACGGTGTGTTTCAGTTGACAGCTTTGTTATCCCTTATTCGGTATGTGCGGCATATGTGTCCAAGTATATGGAGAGGCATGAATACGTTTCAACGGTGTACAGTATTGAATAACAGCAATGAACAAAAAAAAATATAATCCATTGAACAGCTTATGGGGAGAAAATGGTGTGTAGCTCTCGGTGATTATGCAAGCGTGACCACGACAGTTAATATTGCTACGGTCATGTGGACCAGAGCAAATATGCGTTGCCTAACGGGATATTATCTCTCATTTCAAGACAAAGTTTCATCGAAAAACGGTTTTTGAATCGGTTATTAACTGAAGCAAATATAAGGCAATTTTCAATCGTTTTTTTTTTTTCAGAAATATGTTTACTTTTGCTTTCTCTCTCTTCGATAATTGGTATCACCAAACGAGATATTCGTTGGAAAGGTCATACGAAAAACGATTGCAGGCGTTATTTAAGTCTTGAATATAGCAACTGATAAGGATGATTGTATTCTAACGAACCGAAACCGAGAGAAAGAAAGAGAGAGACAGAGAGAGAGTTAGAGTGATTGAGGGCGAAAAAGACAGAGACAATGAATGTATATAACCCGATATTTCTTGTTGCTCACGAATTGAATCTATCAAATATATAAAGTTGTTCAATTAAATGTTTCGCGCACAAAATAAACCGAACGTATGATTGATTCTATTATTTGTTGCGTCTTTTTTTCCTTCAATTTTCATTTGATTGATTTGAATATATTTTTTATGTTCGCTGTTTTATTTTTCTCTCATCGTCGGCAAATACTGACAATATCGATGCAAAAAAAAGCAGTTACAACTTATTAAAATACAATTGACATAAGAAAAAACCTAAAATCCACTGAGCTCAACTATATAGAAACGCAACGTTCTTCGAAACAAAACTTGATAAGAAAACGGATTTAAAAGAATAACAAAAAAAAAAAACAACTGAAACCGTTTTGTGCCTTTATATGTTCCATCATTCTTTATGAATGTATATATGCTGTATTTTTTTTCATTTGTTTGATTTATTTTTTGTTGTTGAGATCTCTCTGTGTGTTATTATTATGATTATTTCTTCGGTTTTTTTTGCTCTCTCAATTTTTGTGACTTGAGACTTTGAAATAAAATGTGCACAGACGACTTTATCACTTTGAATGTCAAAACGAAACTGATTCAACAAATCAACAAATTTCCATTTATGAAAATGACAAAACTTTATACCGACCGGAATATAAGTCACACACACTCAAATGCGTACATACGCACAAACACATGCATGCACACACAAAACTCAGCCCGACTAATAAACAAATGTGTAGAAAACGACAATATTAAATATGAAACTAAATAAATGTACATTTATCACCAATACAAATGCATTCAATTCAGAATTGAGCCCAGAAAATGAATGAAAAATGTGATAATAGCAAAATAGAGGCAGAAACAAAACAAGAGGGAGCGAGAGAGAGAGCAAGAGAGAGAGAAACAAAGAAATAAAGAGGGAAGAGAAAGAGCAAATAATCAATTTGAAATGGCAGGACACTTAATTCATTGACCATTGAATTGGATCTTTAGTTCGCTTGATTTCACTTGAATGTGAAACATTTTAATGGAATCATTTAATAAAAAGCATACTTAAACACTCGACAATCGACTGTGGTAACGGTCATAATAACTGTGCTATGCCGAACTATTCCTATATACAATACATACATCGCGCATCGTATCACATATTACACACATGTGAACGAACAGCAAAACATGAATTGACTCTATGTCTGAATCCTATTACCTCTGCGAAGCAATACAGGCCACATGTATATTATTGAAACTGTGTTGTAATTATAATCATTGTTATTTCATTTAATGTTTTTGTTCGATCATTTCTTTTCAGCCCAAGTTATTTCCCAGTATGTTTGTCTTTGTTATTCAATTTAAGAGAGTGAGGGCAATTTTTTTCGTCAGCATAGAGAAGCTGTGGGATTTTTTTTTTAAATTTGAGTTCAAATTTATGGTCAACAGACAGAGTCAGCCCACTCTGTACTGACGTAGCCAGCAAATCGGCTAAACGAACCACACAAATTTAAAAAAATGCGATGTGTGTGTGCATTATGTGTGTATGTTCCGGTGGTCAATTGTCAAATATTACTGCGTCAATAACGGCAACGTAAACATCAATGAATAAGATGCATCTCTCACATCGACTATTCAATGCTTTCACTTTCAACGCAAATAAACTTAATCAATTCAATGGATCACACATTAAAAATGTCATTTAGACAAATGACTATGACATGCATCGTAATACGGCTATTTTAAAGCGAAACCACATGCACAAGAAACAAGTATGTTGTCAACGTAATTAGAATAAATGCATATGTTTGTGTGTCTTTTTCGTTCTTGATATTCCACACTTTCTCAAACACACACACATAAACACACAGTTTTCTGCCGATAGCAAATGTCATATATGTTGTATCCCGGCCGTTATTTTACAATGACTACCAAAATGCACGAACAAACCAGAGTTGAGAGAATGCGGGTTGAACGTCAAAAGGTTATTCATTTAATACATAGGTTAATAGCAGAGTCCTGTTCTATTGACATGAGATTCAATTAGATTTTTATCAGCTAATA